GACTGTGAAAGCTTGCTAAGCTTCCGTCCGTCACATGACGAACGTCATCAGAGCAAGATGTTATTCTTACAACCAAATTCAAGTTAGCGAGTCAAAAAAACTCATCGGCTCATCCCTAAAAAGCTGCATATAGACTCTATATTTTATATCTTTGATGAGGTATAAAGTGAGTTGGCTAGTTTCAGTCATGTCAACTTGGAAGTATGTGAGTGTGTCTGTCTCTGTATGAGTTCGCAAATGTACGATACCAGCAGTGATGGCTCAAAGTAATTAGGACAGCAAAAGTAACTTCTGCTCTTGGTCATCAAGCTTTGATGGCCACTATCACTCCAATTACACAAGTTTGGACACACGTCTTGTTATTTTGATGAGCTTTTTTTGTCTTCATATGAAGTATTCTCATACAGAGTGGACTGAAGCTTCAACTTCGCATAGGACTCATCAGCACCCCCAGCGGGACTCAAAATCGTATCGTGTGCATCCTGCCAAAACCTTGCCACTCTACTACACAGTCATGGATATCGCCGGGTCACAAGGAAGATGTGAATTTCACGGGAAACCGGACCATTCTCAAATCACATTCAAGGTGAGAATGTCAGTTAAACAAATATATATTTACCATTAAAATCAACAAAATTATTTGCATACTGTATGAGTATCTTTCGAAATCACCTTGAATATGAAGGGTGATATAGTTTTTTCGACAATTACTAATAACTTCGCTCTTTAAAGGAGTAGTAACACGTCGGGACGTGGCCCGGCAACGGCTTCTGAATCCAGTTGAGCTTGCTATTGAGACCCAGGCGAGGTCGAGACTGCAGCCCAGCTTGGATAATAACGCATTTTGGGAGGCAAGGCCAAATCAAATTCAATAGCATCATGAGGCCCACTTATAACATTGTGGGGAAGAATCCACTATAAGTACATAAATCACCTTAAAGAGGAAGGAGTTCTTATAAAATAACTTATTCTGTTCCTTATCATAAACAATAATATAGCAGGCTAGAATCCAATGTTTTGCAGAATATGTAGGCTTCACAGCTACGTTTTGGATTAGGGAGCCATCAGAAATTAATAAAATAGTCAACATCCTGAATAAGAGAAAGGAGTGAAGCAAATTAAGCAGAAGCTATCTCTGTCTATTGGATAGAACTAGGAAGAGGGAGGATGAGAAGGAGCAGGACTAAGCAGCTAGCAAGAAGAGGTTTGATTAAATTGGAGTCTGATTTTAGCTGTAACATCTTAACTAACTCGTTAAAATGGCAAATACACTAAACACAGGCAACCGCACACCTAAAAATATGTTAATAGTGTAGGATCACACTTTAGTTTATTTATAGCAGAAAGCAGCTGTGACCACATCCACATCCTTTTTAATCACTAATTCAACATCATCTGCGACCGTGTATAGTAGGCAAGACATAAACTTGCAGCAGGCCACCCTTCTGAGTTGAGGATTTTTGTGAATTTTTGTAAAAGTGGTTTCTGGTTCTGATTAATTTTCTCTCAGCGAGACAGAGGAAAGCTCAGCGCAGATTCATTGTAGTCGCAGGACGGTGTGTAAAGTGGTTCTTCAGACAAATGAATATATCAATTACTAGGCAATCTTACTTCGGTTTCTGATGGGGTCAATTTACGAATCCCGTGGACCAAAATGAAACGAAAAGTATAACATGAATTAGTGTGATCATTTGGATAAATTAATTGATGATATATTAGAGAATAGATCAACTTTACTTTGTTGAAAGAACAGTAGCTTAAAACCTGATGAGACAAACTAGACAAAGGGAAGGATCATCGATAAAAAGTTTGGAAATAACTTATGATACCATTTCCGTGATGCAAGACGGCACTTAGCCAAGCCATTTAGCTTAATGGCTCTTAGTTTTGGCCAACACATGCAATTTTCAAATGACTTCTAAAGTGAATATCTAAGCTTACGTCTGAATATTGTCACCAGCCCGACTAGTCATCTCTTGATCAGCGGAATCTAGGTTCCAAGCAAGCGTCCGCACCATCCGGTCCAGGTTACCAGAACGAATCAGAGACATTGAGTCTGAGGTTTCAATAGAACCTTGCTTTTCCCGTGTAAGCATCGCGTTGACAAGCGCAATGATTGCCCCAGCGTCAGATGGTGTGTGCTCAAAATTAACACCAACTGAGCCATCTCTGGAGGTGATAAGTTGTATTGTCTTATCGAACCAGCGGTTAGAGGAATTGCCTTGGTAATCAAGGTAAAGGAATATTAGGGATTATAGAAGAAATTACAATCTATAGGGTAATATTAAATAAGATGAAAAGACATAACTAAAAATAGGACAAGCATAAATCGCTAAAAAGCGCCGAAGCTAAGTGACTTTAGTACATCCAGACAGTTTAGTATTGTCAAGACAAATTAGATTTGATATTTATTTACCCTATTGGCATGACCCATTTACTTGTCCAATTTAAATAATAATATTTGCACGACGATAAGGATAAAGATTTCTGAGTTAAGTGGAATCGTAGAAATCCTGACTAATAGAATACATCTAAGGATACTGGAAGTAAATAGTATTCGATTTATGAGGATAAGCAAGAAGAAAGAGCTAATAAGACATGGCTAATAGGTTGCATATACAAAGTGAATTCATTGGAGTATTATCTGTCGTAAATTGGTTTGAAATCATTCAGACCAAGTGGTAAAGAGCTGAGCTTTATTTGATGTACGGCTTGCATTCATTGTTTTTTTAATTAAACTTCTTAAGGGAAATAAATAGACTTGGAGAGAATCTTAATCACGGGTAGTAAAAAAATGCTTTATAAACATATTTGTACACAAAGCAAAGGTTTCTTGAGTATAAGCACAACCGTCTACATTGTTGAAAATAGAATGATGAGTCTGGGTTTGTCAGTGAATCTAAATTTCGTTTGAGCTCTACCTCGACGGCTAGACTGAGCTTTAATCGCCATTCTGGTACAGATTTTTCATAAAGTTATCTGTGGTGAATTAAGGTAAATGTGAGTTAGATGTGAATATGTAAGTTATAAGAAGTTAAGAGAAGTAAGGCAACGCATTTTTGGTGGAAATGTGGGTGAGACTAGCGAAAGTGAGACTAGCGTATGAGCAAGTTAGAAGTTTCAAAAACACTTCAATCACTCAGTTAATTTAAGATCATATTTCTTCCAAGACCATTCTATTATAAATCTGTGCTATAGCAGATGAATTTAAATGTATTTCTGAGGGGATCCATTACATGCAGTGAGAGCGAGAAAGCCAGAATATGGAGATATTAAGACTCACCCTCCTTCTTTAAGGGACCGAAGCCATGAAGAGTGTTAGATGCGTTGGCTGTCTCTCTAGGAGAAATAAACAAGCTTCTGCTATAGCCGGGTGTCGGCTTTCTGTCCCTTAGTTGATTCTCAGAGAGGGGTACATGAGTCGCCTTATCTAAGCAGACTACTATCAGACTGGACTCAATGCTGTCGAGGACGTCTGCATTCTGAGGATCTAATAGGTGAATGCAAAAAGCATGCGAGAAATAAAACGGAAAAGTCAAATATGAGTATAAACATAAAAAATGATACATGAAAAGGCAGCCATGCCTTGCTGAGGTTGAGAAACGTGCATCCTCCATTAAAAAGCAAAGCTACATAAAAATGGGTTTAAGCGAGATTGTATTGTCAACCACGTATATAGCAAAATGAAAATAAATCTTGAGGTTATATTCGCTGTACTCCCATAACAAGTATACATCCTTTCTCCATCTAAGAAGGATAGTGTGTCCGTCCACATCGAATATCCTATATTTTGTCTATTTTGTCACATCTAAGTAAGGCGTAGAAAGGGAGAGCTCATTAAGTGAATTGGAGAGCCCATGCCAAAATAGCTGCAAAGTTAGGGGAGTATGCTAGTGGAAGAACATTCGATTAAGAATGATCTAGACGGTGTATCAATAGAGAATTAAATAAAGTTTGTCAGAAAATAAAACCCCACCTCCTCCGTGTTAAAGTAGAGATGATCGTTATGATTGAAAAAGCCTAAGTTTGTATGCCAAAGACTCACATGCATGCTTTGGTTTTGCATCGAAAAAAATGGATCAATCTTCACATCCATTTAGCCTTATTAATTTTTTTCGTAAGTGAGTAGGTTTTCGATACTACCAGCAAATCATATAAGTTGTTTGCACCATATTTCGTTTAAGGCCATGAAGGACCAGTAGTTGCATTTTCCCAAAATGATATGAGTAAAGCTGATGTTTTCCATTTGATTTTACATAGCTTTGCCTTCTTAAAAGGTGTTCTCAACCAGGGTGGACTGCAGTTTCGACCTCGCATAGATATTGCATTGTATAAAACATATGTCCGTTATACAAAATATGAAATGCAAACATAATAAATGGTTAGAAATGCATTCATAAAATGAATGCTTGATTTGTCCGGGGTAGTGATGGTTCAAAGGAGAAAGTATGAGCGAGATACAATGAGTTGAATTTAATTTATAATGAAAGTGTATGATGAGATTTGTAGTTCAATCCCATCTAAACACGAAAACGGATTCCCCTTATTCTACTGTCGCTCGATTTTATTTGGAAGCCTAGAGTATGAAGTCCTCGAAATAAACTCCTTTGATTTGAGTAAAAGTGAACTAACCTTCGTCGGTAATATAAAAGATATCATCAGAACCAGACATCGCTCATATTAACGACAAAAAGATAACACCAAATAAAGTAAACGCATGGAATCATATATATATAAGAGACCTTACCATTCTTATAAGGTTAATGAGTATCTCCACCAGGCTTCTATTCATAAACTAAGTGAGACTTATGATACCAAGAGGACTAAGCTATTTAAGTTTGTAGATATTCAGTCAAAGCTCCGGGGTGATCTAGCCAGGAACCTGACTCCGGAAGACTTTCAAAAACTCCAGAGCATGACCGATAGGAAATTACGTAGGATCTTTGAATTAATAACAAAATGACATGACGATAAAATGCGTAAGTTTGGGATTATAAGACAGCCTAAGTTAAATCCAATACGTCCAGTTGAAATGGCTTCCGTGGTGACAACACATAGTGATCAGCGCGACGAACGGAAGAAAGTAGTAAATTTATCATCATTTCCTCTCAATCCCAGAAACAACCACGTTCCTGGAAAAGGACTAAACTTTTCACTTCAAAATGACAGAAGCCTTCTAGGAGACATCCTGGTGGAGGTTATCAATATCTCCGAAAAGTTCCCTAAAGAGAAAAAAACGAGAAATGGAGATTGAATTAGTTCCAAAGATCTGGCCCTGCTGGAAATATTGGACCGAGAGGAGGATATCCTGGAATCACAACAGATCAGGGAGTCGTTAGCACGACTAATCAAGTTGACAATAGGGACAATCTATTTTACATTCAATGAGACCATAAAATGAACAAATATTTGGACTTGCTATGGAATCGCCGCTCTCACCACATTTGGAGAAAAAAACTTAAATATGTCACAGCTACAACCAACATTGTTCACGTGGTACCTAGATAATTACCTCGCGCTTTGGTCAGATAGAGGAGAAAAACTGGAAGATTTTGTGAAGTGTATAAACCAGATTGATGAAAAAAATTAAAATCATGACGGAAGTAGAGGAAAGTGAGCGGTTACTGTTCTTGGATGTTGAAGTGATTCGCTTTAATTCTTCAGAAAGAAGTCTTATGCCGATATAATATTCAATTGGACAAATTGACTAGGATATTCCTCGGCAGCGGCTATCCAGGCAAAGTAATGCAAAAAACATACAGGTCGTGAAAAGCCAATGGCAGAACGGAGACTACGAAAGAACAGTAAGGGCAGAGAAGGATTAACAAAAGTGAACACGTCTACCTTCATGCGAATTAACTCAAAAAATACGGCCAATATTAAGGAGATAGAATATTCGGGTGACCATGAAAGAAAAAAGAACACTTTTCACAAGTCTTCCAACGCAGCATGAAAGGGTAAATAAATTGGATTGTTCAGGAGTTTACGGTATATCATGCAGCGCCTGCGAACAGAAATATAATGGCAAAAAAAGGGAAAAAACTAGCATAAGAGTCAAGGATCATCAAAGGCGCTGCAGGAAATTGATACCGAAAGATCAGAATTAGCGGAACACATCGCACAGACGGACTGGACACGGAACCAATTGGAAGGCAATAGAAAGAAGGGTCTCATACGGTGACAACACAAGGAAGCGAAAGATTAGGCAGACCATTGACATCCTTGGAGAAAAAAATCTAATGAGCAAGAGATTGGAAGAAGGTCGAGTTAGCGATAACTTTGCCTACTGCTTTTACGAACTATGGAAAAACAAGAATGCATCAAGACCAGCAAAAGGAGACGCCTGGATCAGGGATCTATCTCTAACCGGAAGAAAAGAGATTGCGATGAGAAAAAAGGGGACGGGGATTTTCGGGACTCAAGCGAAGACATTGTCAGTGAGTGATGCCTGTTCGAATAAGCCAGTACAACTTTGGGAGTCTGACAGTCAGGGGGCTAGGCAGACGGATAAGCAAACCGGCACAGAAATCCGACGGTATGGCCAAAATGTACTAGAAATCCACTTGAGATGCGACAGGCGGCCAAGGATAGGCGCCAACAGTTTGCTCAGGTAACACGGGCTTAATCAAAGAGACGACTCGTGAAGGCAATGCCTGATATCTGCAAGCATGGCAATCAGACAGTGGACTTGATACATTCTCAAACGTTTCGCCGGCATCGTAGTCGGCATCATCAGTGAGTTTT